ATCTAGCGACCTATATGGTCAGTGCCGTGCGTGGTATCCGCCCACGAACAGGGGGATTTGCGCGTGAATCCGGTAGGGATGCCTGGTGCCCCCCACCGCTCGCGTAAGCTACAGAGATGCTACCCCATGGCCGTACACTGAGAACAGCCAGGCCGCCGCCTGTACTTTACTGCGAGAAGGTAACGCTTCGGAGGTCACTGTGGAGGAAGACATGAGTCCCCGCAAGAGACAACGTCCGCCAGGTTACCCTGTGCAGGTAGTCGACATTTCTTCCGGTGATCACGTGGAGGAGGCGTGAAGTGTCACAATGCCGCCAATAGATTTAAAAAGGAGAAAATCACTAGCGTTATGAGCCACAAAGGAACGTCCGACTCCGGCCTCGCAGATCGCTGAGCCGATATCCCGACAGACCGATGCCGAGCCCATTCCACGCAGCAACAACACGGCGACGTGACGTCTTCGCCAAATCACCATATCGTCTTTTATATCATAACAAACTTATTCGATCTACCAGTTACTAAACCAATTACTAAGATGCAGGCATTATTTGTGATCATGGCTCTTGCTGTCAGCGCCCAGAAATACGCCCGACCCCAGGGACCAGGACCTAACTGGGTCAACCCGAGCTGGACCACTGCCCCAATTCAAGCGGCTCCTGCTACTCTTAACGCAGTGGTCGTGTCCGTAGTTCCCGGTCCGGTGAGTCCTGCGCCCGTAGTTCCGGGTCCGATAGGTCCTGCTCCCGTAGCTCCCGGTCCGATAGGTACTGCTCCCGTAGCTCCCGGTCCGGTAAGTCCTGCTCCCGTAGCTCCCGGTCCGGTGAGTCCCGGTCCGGTAATTCCTGCGCCCGTTGCTACCGCTCCGGTGAGTCCCGCACCCGTTGCTACCGCTCCGGTGAGTCCCGCGCCTGTTGCTACCGCTCCGGTGAGTCCCGCGCCCGTTGCTACCGCTCCGGCGAGTCCCGCGCCTGTTGCTCCCGCTCCGGTGAGTTCTGCGTAGGACCCGGAAGATTGTTCGAGGGGATGCTACGTAGTAGTTGTGAACTGAGAGGCCGCTAAAGAAGAGGCCGCTAATGAAGATGTTGTTAAGGAAGGGATCCTGTATAGTTCTTGAAGTAGTACAATTATTTTTAAGCATGCTTGACTTGAGTTTAAAGATATGATTTTCTGGAAGCAGTGTCTTGGGTGGCTGAGGTTGTCGTCGGCAATTCTTGCTAATTACAGTGTCGATGCTTGGGTCTGGAGTTTGTGTGCTGCCGTACCGCGGTGCCTTGTTGCCGGCCAGATTGCTCGGGGCCGAGTCTAATTGCTGTCGGAGTCGGGGGAGGAGTCGGGGGAGGAGTCGGGGGAGGAGTCGCGGGGGGTGGATGCGTTCTGTTCTGTAGACTTGGCGATGAATTTGGTGACGTTGCGTTACAACTTGGTGAACACGGGTTTGCTGAGTAACCGGCAGGCGTTGACGTTTGCGGCAGTGGGACCGGTGGCGTTGTCGGTGCTGGTTCAATGGCTACCGTTGGATTTTGGCGAGGCGTTGGATACATTATGTTCTCTAGCGATTGGTTATTGGGTACCGTTGTTGGTTTACGTGGTGGCTATGCGTCAGTCGCCTTTGGCACTGCGCGACGAGGTGCGTAAGGATGTGTTACGGCTCTCCATCTCCGCCTTCCGTCCTGTCCAGGGCAGTCTTCAGGAAGTGCAGGAAGTGCTGCGCAAATGGGCCAAGTACGCCGCCCACGGAGATGTACAACTTCGCGTCCTCCTCCGCATGGACAAACCCCAGGACCGCCAAGAGTTCATCGCGCGTCGCATCCCGCGCAGTGAATCCTCATTCGGCACCCGTAGCTCCTCCCTCACCGCCCTCTCCGTCTTCTCTAGAAGATCCTCCTGCCCCTCCTCCATCCGCTCCAAAACCGTCCTCTCGCTTGAGGGATCAGACCGCGCCGCTGTCCATAGGCGCCTCTCTTGCGACCACACCCGTGTGCTCGACCACACCCGTCTGCTGACCACACCCGTCTGCTAGACCACACCCGCCTGCTAGACCACACCCGTCTGCTAGACCACACCCGTCTGCTAGACCATGTGCGCAATGGCTTGGAGCCGGAGGCAGCTACAGAGGACAGTCTGGACCGCAGGTCGACCCTGACGGACGAGGTCCTGGAAGAGCGGGCCGTGTCGACTGGGTCTGGGTCCGTGGACTCAAGCGAGTTGCTAGAGGAGAGCGAAGAGCAAATGTCCATGTCTTCCAGCCTGCTGTCCGGCGCCCTGTTCATGAGCCAGTCTTGGAGGCAGCGCTGTCTGGGCGATCAGTATGAGGTCGTGGAAGAAACCGAGGAGCTCCTCGAGTGGCGCCTCATGTTTCCCATTCGCGACATTATCCAGTTCCACCAACGAGATGCCCCTGCTCCCAAATCAGTGGAATTCCGCATACCTCAAACTGACGCAGACGAACGTCCCTTTCTGGACCGTTCCTTGGAGCGCCACGCGAACGAGCGCCATGAGGACGGTCCCTTTGAGGATGATGTGCGGAGGTTGCGGGACTCCGCATTGGACTTGTTCAACGCGCGCGTGGCAGACGACCTGGACGAGCTGACGGGGGAAGCTCCACCACAGCCGCGGTCAGGCCCGCAGTCCGGCTCGGGGCGGCAGTCTCGACAGTTGCCCGTGAGGGGACTGAGTTTATTCCAGACAACGGCCCCGACGGACCTGCGTCGTGCGAGGAGTGCACTGCATCAGACGATCCAGGTGGACAGCAGAAGGGCGGTACACTTCCCGGCGTCGCCTTCCTCGCCGCCTCCCTCTCCGACGGTGCACTTTCCCGGGGAAGTGGCGAGCCCGAACGATCGTTCGGAGGAAAGCGAAGAAGAAGACAGTGACCCCGACAGTCGCCGCAGCTACGGACGCACCACCCGGAAGGCGGTGTGGTCTGTGGGCTCCGACTCAGGAGGACTTGACAGCGGTCTCGCGCGGCATTTGGAGCGCAGCACTTTCGCTCGCACACGGCCGCGGCTCGCGACCCAACGGCGTCATCCACTAGGCAGCCATCCCTTGGACGCCTCAAGCTCGGCCGACTCCAGCTTTTGGCAGCCTTCCATCCATACCGCCTCTGACTCGAGTCCCGACGAAAACAGGAGCCACGAAAACAGGAGCCACGGAAACAGGAGCCACGATATCAAGGCCGAGAGCCACAGAGACAGAGACGTAAACCACAGAGACGGGGGACAGTCCCCAGAGCCCTTTGGCGACTTGATCAAGGCCAATCTTCAAACGTTGGGCAAAGTCGAGTGCAAAATTCAGGAACTACAGGACGCCGCGCGAATTCCCCTCGCTGAAGAGAAGTGGGTCACTTCAATCAAACAGTCGCCGCAGGCAATCCGTCGCCGCATCCTTATTAGTGCCGGCACACCCTCTACGGCCGTCTCTCATGCAGCGTCTCCCGCCGCCCTCTCGACCGCCGCCATCTCGGCTACCGCCATGTCGACCTCCCCCACCGCCATTTCGGCCTCCCCCACCGCGCTCTCGGCCCCCCCCTCCGCCCTCTCGCCAGCCGTCGAGTTAGCCGCGGTCTTGTCGGCCGCGATTCAGTCGTACTCGCCCGCCGCGGTTCAGTTCCCGACGGTGGCCGAGTCGTTCACGCCGAAGGCTCAAGCCACGTCGGGTGCTTTGGCACAGGAGGCCGGTTCCGTCCGCGCCGCGGGCCATAGTCCCACGCGACTGGGGAAGGAGATCCGGCTTGCGGCGGACGATGCGCGCGCGCATGGACCGGTTCCGCCAGGCGTACCCTGGACCTACCACCTGTGTCTGTTGCTCAGCATCTTTCTGGGTGAATGCACCTGGGCTGGCGCCTCTTGCCAGGAAGGGGTCTCGGGGGCGGAAATGGTGAGGGCGGAAGCCGATGGTGAAGAAGACATGGCCTGGGACGAGGTGAGCGGCAGGGGGAGCGTCAAGCCCAAGATACCGCCACTCAGGACGCCGGCCCTCAGGACGTCTGTGTTCCGCACATCTGAGCTGCGGACCCCGCCGCTGGTCTCGGCGGTGCACGCCCAGATCCGGTCGCAAGTGCTCGCACCAGCGCTCGAGACGCAAAATGGAGCCGAGGCGGAGTCCCGAGCCTTCATGAGTCAGGATTGGCCGAGACCGAACGTGGCGCTGAGGCAGGAGGGTATCTTCGCACGGGCCACCACCTTGGACAGCCGTTCGGTACGTCTCTTGCGCACATTCCGTTCGCTTGCCCTTGTCGACGCGGCTCTGGTGACAATCCCGGGGGACGGAGTCCTGGCAGCGGATATAGACTTGGCGGAGGACACACCGCAGGGCGCAAAAGGTCGGCACGCAGTTGCCGGCTGGTTCAGTGGTTCTTTAAAACAGATCAAGTGGGCTAGCAAGCTCCCAGCCAGTCTGTCGCTGAAGAACTTGGCCCTCAAGACTGCCTGGCTCCGGAAGCGTCTGACGTCTGTAGGGACGGTTGTATTGCCGGCAGACGACTTCCTGGCGAACATGCTCACCAAAATGGCCCCCGCGCACACGTGTGCTGCGCCGTTTGTTGAGTTGCGTCCTTGCGGGGATGTGGTCAAGGTGGAGTTCAAAAGTGGTCTTTACCGAACAGCGGTCCTGGCGGTACAGTTTACGAAGCTGTGCTTGCTACGCGTGCCGCGTTGGCTATGTCGCAAGACGTACGGGTGCGCAAAGAACTTCCGCGCCACGTTCAGTCTAATCAACCGCAAGATCGAACGTTTACTGTTGCCAGTACCGGCGGCTACTACGGGTGCGACTACTACCCCTGCGGTGGGTGTGGCTACTACGGGTGTGGCTACTACGGGGGGGACTACTAGGGCGATGACTCCTACGGGAGGGACTACTACGGGGAGGACTACTACGGGGGGGATTGTTGCTGTGACTACTACGGTTGCAACTGCCCCTGCGGGTGCTACGGCTGTATTGGAGAGCGGCGAGGGTCAGGTGTCGAGTGGAGCGCCGCATACTTTGAGCGCGCAAGTTTCGGAACGGTTGTCTGCAGACACGAGTTTGATCCAGCTGTCGTCGGAGAGTGAGTGTTCACCGAGTGCGTGCTCGTCAAGCACGGGCGAAGCGGGTGCGATAAACCGGCTTGTGGCGAACTTGGTAAATCGCCGTCAGAAGAATGACCACCGCTCCCGGAATCATATGAACCGAATGGAGCTTACGCCCATGACCGTCGCAGACCAGCAATTGACCATAGGACTCTTCGCCCTTATGATGGTCCTCATGCTACCCATGGCCGTCGTCATGGATTGGTGGTTCGCAGAAATACAGTGGGGCCCCCCTGATGTCAGCTGGATTCTAACCGCGCATGACCAATTACGTATCATCGACTACTCCGACGTACACTGGATCGACAGCATGACTGCATACTCCTTCTTCGCCTGTGCAGCAGCACAACATGCACCCGTCTGGACCCACCAATACTTTTTCCCGCCCTGACCCACCAGCACTTTTTCCGGCATTGACCCACCTGCACTTTTTCCCGCCTTGACCAGCCATCAACTGAGAAGTTAGGAAGAGGGAGAGAGGAGGTTAGTTAGCCAGGCAAGAGGAGGTTAGTTAGCCAGGCAGGAGGAGGTTAGCCAGGCAGGAGGAGGGAGGGGCCAAACAAATAAACGAGAGACCAAGAAAGCTGGGGGACCAAGAAAGCTGACGAAGTTAGCCTTCCAATCAGGAGAGCGAAAAAACGAT